CCCCCCGCCCCAACACTAGAGCTGGGCAAAGGGGCATGATGCCTGGGTGGGAGTGTGGCACAGAGGGACAAAGCTCCAAGCCAACCGAGCCACAGCAACCAGCCCTGCCTGTTGTTTCAGGAGTTAAGATCGAATAATGACATTTTCCAGGGAAGGAGCCTGTGAGGTCCCCAGCCCTTGCTGTCTCCTCAGTGCATGACTGACACAAGCTACATCAGTTTGGCTGTGGTTCCATCCTGAAAAAACCTACAAGGATGGACAACCCTCCCCATCTCTCATCCTACAGCTGCACCACGCTCCCGGCTTAAAACCAAAGAAAAATCCCACTATCAGTTCTGAGCCTCCCAAACCAAAATTTTTGGCAGTTGCTCTTCACAGCAGCATCTGGCACCAGGAGGAAGAGTTTGAGCCCATCACCTTTCACCAAGAAGCATGTCCAGCTAGGAGTGCACAGTGTGCTCCAGCTTGGGTAGGGGCTGCCCGTGGCTGCAGCTGGGGCCACAGGGCAGGGGCCAGCAGAGCAAAGCTGCCTCCTCATGAAGACTGTGGTTCTCTGGGACCATACAGCACCTCCCAGCACAACAGGCACCACAGCCCAGCAGCCACCTGGCAGAGACCTCAGCCCATGGCTGGGGAAATGTTTTTCCATCAGTGACCTCAGCAGAAGAAACCTTCAGCAGAGCTGAGCTCAGCGAGCTCAGGGTTCACATTTTTACTAATGCAAAGATTTGAGATCATGGGCTGCGAGTGCCATTGACTGGGCCTATCCCAAGGGCTTGAGCAATTGGGGATTCACTCCTAAGGGTGTGGGAGGGCTGGAAGGCACTGGCTCCATCTGCCTGCCCACCTCCAGCTGAGCCCCCTCCCCAGGCATCCCAACTCTGCCCAGAAGAAAGAGGTCTCATATTTCATGGGGACGACTCCAAGCCCTGCGCTGTCCCGGGAGGTGTGGCAATACACAACCATGTCCCCAAATCCAGCCAGTGTCCAGCTCACACCCTGGCAGCTACTGGGGCCTGGTTCAGGATCCAGGGAAGCCCACCTGGAGCTCAGGCTCTGCTCCCGGCCTTGGTCATTCCACCCAAAGAAACATTTTGTCTTTTATTAAACTCCTTTATTGAACTCATTTCTCAACTCGTATTTAGCTTTGATTTTTGTATTTTTACCAGGAAAAGCACTTGCTTGGGTGAAAACAAGTGTACTTTACTTTTTCCAGCTATGCTTGGGGTAATAAAATACATGACAACCCTCAGAAGAAATCTTGCCTTGCTTATGCTGGTGAACAACCACGGCAACACGACTTTAGGTTCCTTATCACAGCCCTTTCAAATTGCTGAAGACTTCTCTGTGTACTCTCCTGGGCTCCTTGTCCAAGGGCAGCCTGTAGCTCTGAGCTCTCCTGCTCCACATTGTCAGCAGCAGTCCTGGGGAGCTCACACCGCTCCCAGCTGCGGTGTTGTTCCCTCTAACTCATTTCATTGTCACTTTAATCTCCTGTCTCCCTGTCTTTTTGTCTGTCCCTGTGGTTTCATAAAGGAACACGAGGAGAACCGTTTCTCAGTGCAGTCAGCTGGCACCACCTCACAGCACTGCACCCACCTCAGCTCTCTGGGCTGCCTGGCACCCAGCGTGTGCACTTGGCAGCCACGAACTCCAAGTGCTCTCTGGTGGCCTGGCCTCTCCAGTAGTCTCCTGTGTTCCCTGGACTCCAGCTTGCATTTTTGTTCCTCACTTTGTCACTTTACTACACACTTACTAATACAACTGGCCAATTTTCCCCATTTCTCGCTTTGCACTCACTGTGTGATTTCATGCAAACACTTCATGTCACTTCCTCCCCAAAGGCCTTCCCAAAGTCAAAACACGAGGCTGCAGGAGACCACCCCACGGGCATCAGAGCAAGACCTGTGACCCAGGGTTCAACCCCTCTTCAGTCCCAGCAGGCTTCCTGTGAAAGCCAGGACGACAGGCAGCCGAGAGTGGGGAGCAAAAGCTGGATCTGCAGAGCAGAAGGGGCGGCTGCGGCCTCAGCTGCCTTCCCGCTGCCCTCTGCCCCCGCGGGGCACCAGGGGCTGGCACGGGGCCTGCACGTTGGCTGCGTCAGCTTGTCATGCTGGTGCAGAGCACGGGTCACCAGGGGAGGTGGCTCCTCACGCTCACCTCTGGAGGCTGCTCCTGGTGCCTGTCGTGCAGCAAACCGCTCCCTCAGGCTCCGCACTGCCACGGCTGGAACCTTCCTTTTGCACTTTACAGAGCCCAGCTCCCCAGTGCCTGCAGACAGCCCCGTCAGGGGGCGCGGGGGCGCCCGAGCACACTGCTCCAGCACGGCCCCCTCTCCAGGAGCAGCCAGGGCTACCTTCCCCTACCACGGGAAAGGTCTCACAGGAGAGGACACCAGAAACGACACGACCCGCAGGGGTACTGGGGCACGCCACGAGAAACAACCCCAGCACACAGCTAACAATGAAACTCAGTTATAGCTTTATTTAATAACTGGTACAAAGTCCCCCTCAGGCGGAGCCTACCAGTCCCATTCCCTACCTGCAATGGAGCAGAGCGTGAGCGTGACCCTCGGAGGAGGTGGCTCCTGGTGAGTCAGGACTGCTCGAGACAAGAAGGGATGTTTTGTTGATCTATTGAGACCTGCAGTAGCCTGACCACTCATCCCTTTTCTCCCATTAACAGCGAGACCCTGGCACGCAGCGGGCATTTGCCCCGGCCCTCTGTGACCTGACGTTACAGGTGCCCCGTGCCACGGCAGGACCGCGGCGGGCCGGGGGCAGTCTGGGTGCCAGGGCTGCTGCAGGTTAATCCCTTGTCCTCGTTAACAGTGCACCTCCACTAGTGGAAGTTTACTGGTGAATCGCTTTGCCCTCTTGGGGGCTCAGGTAAGAAATTGCTGCTCCTTCACACACCCCCCGAGGAGACAGCACCTTGGACCATCTGCTTTCCCCACGGCTGCCTGGCACGCCGTGTCCTGGGAACTCAGAGACCTCCTGGTACATTCTGTGCTCCAGGCACAGCTCTGCCCAAAGCACCCCCTGGAGCTGCACATCACCGCGGCCTTGCTCTCCCACAGATGCCATACCAACTGCACCACAAGGGTCCCTTAGCAGAAGCACAACTAGAAAGCAATTCTAAACCTCACAAAGCCACAGAAATTATATTTAAATGAACAGGGAAGACAATGGCTGTCACCTGGATTGCTACACAGCACAGACAGGAGATGGTATCAGCATGTGACTTACTAAGACCGCAGACTGTTAACAAGTTTTAAAGAGGCTCTGATGCCAATGGCATAGAGAAAGGACCAAAGTAATGCCAAGTACAGACTACTAAGGAGGTGGCAGCTCAGAGGGGCATGCACAAATTAGAGAGAACAGTTAATGCCATGTTGGATGAAATGCTAGATTCTGAGTGGGTTCAGTGGGGGCGAGTGGAGTTGTCTGAATCCAGAAGAGGGGCTCCTGCCTAACAGGATACTTCCATGGTTTGAGATGCATTCTGGAGGTCGATTCCTTCTGGGGTTCCAGCACTTTCTTCACCGTGGTTGCTAGTGTGAGACCGGCTGCGGCTGCTCTCGCCAGAGCCCACGCTAGAGGAGGAGTGGGTACGGGAGCGCATCAGCCTGGTCATCGTCACCGCTGGCACTGCAAGGAAGAGAACACGTGGGCCTTAGAGGAGGAGGGAGTTCCTAGACCCAGTATCACAGTCACTCAGGTACGTGTCACTCCGGAAGAAAACTCGCTCTTCACTGCCAAAATTATTCTTTGCATGTCTAAAGCAAGATGTTTAAGGCCCAATTTCAAAAGGTCCAAGGTGAGCAAATGCCAGAAGTGTAACTGATCATTTGCGAGAGCAGTCGTGGGGAGTGGCTGTGCAAACCCAGGCAGCTGCTGTACAGATGACCTTTTGAAAGTCAGTCTCGTCACTCTAGAAAACCACAGAGCTGAAGGCATGCAACAGTCAACAGAACAGAAATGAAAGGTGAAAACCCGTGGCGCAGAGGCCGCACGAGGATCAGCCCAGCCCGCAGCAGGACATGCCAGACAGAGCAGTGCACCCGAGGGCTCATTCAGCTCAGCACACAGACTCGGGCGAGGCCGATGCAGTCGGAGGTACCTGGCTCAGTGCTTAGGTGGCTGAGCTGCACATAAGGGACTGGAAACATGAGACAAGGGAAGGGATGAATACAGGAGAGAGCCAATTAGTTGCGGTGTGTGACGAGCAACTGCACTGCTCCTGGGACCCCCAGCTACCTTCCCTTCCACTCCCAGCTCACACACTGTGCCAAAAGCTCCCAGAACCTGTGAACACGGCTGCTAGTGAGCATCTCGGGGAGATGCCAGGCTGACTCAAAAATCCATCAGGGCCAGATCTCTTCAGCACCTTTAGCTGGAGATGGCAGGGTACCTGGTGAGCCTGCCTCCCCACCACACACACCACAGCTGCTCAACAGAGATGCCATTTTCCTGTGGCAGGGGAACTGGGGTACACTCTGTGACGCCGGGTACAGAAGAGAAGTTCATGTCTTTCCTCGAGTTGATAGCATCAGATATCTGCTACAAGCCGCCTGCCAGGCATCAACTTCCAGATGCAGCGTCAGCACAGGCAGCTCCAACTGTTGTAGCCAATGTGCAGAAGGCACAGGAACAGCTGTGGAGGAACTGACTTGTGCGTCTCCAACGGCGAGCTGCTGACCTGCTTCTCTCCCCGAGGGCTGGCCTGGCTGGCTGAGCTCAGCAGTGCCAACACCACCTTGACCACAAACGTTGGGAAGACCACTCCGGTACTAGCTACTAATTCTGCAAGTAGAAAATTACCCTCTGTCCTTCCCCAGTGCTGCCCTATTTGCAAGATATTTGACCCTCAAAGTGCTGCAGAAGCCCTCACTCTGACAACAGCACTTGCTGGCTTTACTAACACCAGGAAGACAAGAGACACGAACACTGAAATGCTCTCAGGCTGTGAAGGAACCTTCTCACATGGCACCCTCCTCTGCAGCACCAGGCTCTTCTGGCCAGCCTTGGAGAACACAATTATCCTACCATGTTCCTGTCAACTACATACAGCTCTAAGACAGCTGCTTCTGAGCCCTGATGCCCGTGAGCTTGTCAAGAACTTCTGGCTGTGTGGAGAACATTGGGAGTATCACGATTGTCACGGTGGTCATCCTTAGTGGTTAACCAGCTATATGAACCAATCCTTCCCATACTTCCAGCTTTTGAAGGTCCATCATCCACGGAAGGGACCTCCTAGCCCTGGCCCCTGGCAGGCAAGACAGAGCTGTGCCAAGGTGTGTGCAATGAGGACAGAGTTACTTTGTGCACAGAGAAGCCCTTCTCCTGAAGCCCCCCAGTCTTTGGAGCAGCTGCCAGCCTGACACACACAGGAGACAATGTCTTCTGCCTCCAAGCAGGAGGAGGAAACCATAGGGCAGGATATGCACTGGATCAAAGTACAGCTCCCTGTGGGCTCCTCGGGTGTCTCTAAAGTCACCCAGCTCTGTCCTGCCATTAGATGGTTTCACCCTGTGGCATCGCTTACCCCTGGTGGGAGGCTGAAAGAACAGGTCTGTCTGAGGAGAAAGGAAATAGCCCTCATGCATCATCACAACTGTGAGGCTGTGCTGCTAACTCCTTCCCCTCCAGGCCACGGATGCACAGGACATCGTGGGGAGCACGCTCTTCTGCCCTGGCACAAAGACAGACTTACAGGGTTCTACCAACACCAAAAAGGAGTCACCACTCCAGCTGTGTGCAGATTAAAACACACATCAGGGAACAACATTGGTTTGCTAAGGCTTGTTAGCACACTAGCTGATTTTCCAGCGTGGATGGATCTCCTGGCAACCAGACTAACTCACGGGTGGGAACACAGATGGACCAGAAGGGTTGAGCTCCCTTCACAACAACCCCGCTCCAAAATAGAAAACTGTGTTTGCCACTTACTGTAGCCCATTCCCTGCACAAAGTACTTGAAGGCTTCAGTCAGCTTGCCAGGCTGTGGGAACAGAAAGCACGGTTTGAGCAAGAGCAGAGCTAGGGGCTCTGGACAACCCAAACACCACGGGAGAGCGGGGTGGCATTTCTCACCTGGACCACCTGGGGCAGGCCCCCGCAGTCGGCCATCTGCAAGGAAGCAGAAGGGAGGTTGGGTTGTCCTTCCCAGCCCAGGAGGGCCACCTCAGAACCATGCCAGCACTTCCCACCCCGCCAGGGCTGGTGGCACCAGGCTGCAGTGCTACATGAGGCACATTGCTTCCATCCTGTCTCTGAAGCTGAAGCAAGGCCTGGTGACACATCTTCCAGGTGCCTGTTGCTGAAAGAACCCAGCACCCTGGGGGCTGCATTACCAAGCAATGCCAGGCCATACTCTAGAAGCCCAGCAGCAACCCTCCACCGACCAGGCTCCTCCTGCCATTCTTCCTAAACCTGTCACTTCTACACAGCAGCTGTCTGGCACACTACAAAGCTGTAGGTGAGGATGGGAAGGACTGGTATAAAGCCAGAAAACAGTGACATTGGTGCTGGCAGGGAGCACAGTAGAGGCAGGAGACCTCTGCTAACTCTCAGCAGGTCTTCCCTGCTGGCTGAAGATAATAGAGAAGTGGCCATAAAGCAAGGATTCAGGGACTCCCTGACAAACTCTTCTCTCCCCAGTCTGGCTCCACACAGGACAGAACACAGCCCCGAATGACTGCCCACAAACGTCTTAAAGCCCAGTGTATGGAAGGCAAAAAACCTAAGTGGGCATGTCCTCAGCAAAGATAATGACTTTGTGCAGGCTGGAATGACTGTGGAGTGGCTCTCACCTTCAGAAGCGTAGTTTTGGTTGGGTCAAGACGTGAATTGCATTCAACCTGAAACAGAAGGAGAAAGAGGGACAAGACGTCACACAGAAAAACTGACGAGTTAGATGCAAAACACAAGGGCAGCTGCACCAGAGGTTGTGCCTGTCTTCAGCAATGGGACCTTCTCTGGGGTCGTGACGGGCCGAGCAAGAGAGCAGAGAGCCCACAGGAAAAGAACCACGAGTGGACGAGGCAGGGAGGAGAGGTGGGTGTTCCCTACCAGGGGGACCTTGTGGCAACAGAATGTCACTGCTCTGAGACACGGCCGTTAACAGAAGTCATCCCCTGGTTTTGGGGATGCACCATGAAATGCTGGAGCACCTTCTGGGCTCTGACAGCAAGAATGGGAGGGAAAGAAACTTCTGTGCAGTGCAGCACAGAGGGAGACCACTCAATTCCCTGGGCAGACAGGGCAGCCACAGTCACCTCTTCTCTGCGAGGCTGCTGCAAAAAGAGAACATGTGTGGCCCTATAGGAAAAGCAACCCCAGGAGTGGAGATAATCATGAACTGGGAACTTGGGCAGCCAGACAAGCCAGCCAAGATCCAGAATGCTCTATCCTGTCCCCCAGCTGTGGCTGGGAAGCAGCAAGAGTCCTCAAGGACAGTATCTCGCCAAAGTCAGAACTTGAACAACGTCTCAGACTTCAAGACCAAACAGATGAAAGGTGACAACCCGAAAAGAACCCTGCAGGAGTTCCCCATGCACAGCTCCTAGGTCCAAGTTACTGCTTTAGGAGACTAAAGTTTTCACTCTTCCACAGTTTCTTAAGACAACTGTTGTTAAGACAACAAACCCCTGTCTGCTCACAATCACTGGCTGAAGGGAGGGAGCAACATCCACCACAACCACACTGCACTGTGCCATGCCCCATTTATAGCTGTGCTGGGAGGGAAGTGGGTTATAGGTGTCTGCAGAGAACAACAGGAAGGGGTTGCTTCTAACTGTTGCCTTCCCTGTGATGCAGTGCTTCTGCTCCCCACTACAGGAACTGCAGTCACACTGCTTATTTTTAAACCCTAGGTAGCCTCAAGTACCACAGCAAGAGAACAGTAACTCACAACTTGAGCTGAACTCCAGGCAGCAGGTTGGCAGAGCTCAGGGAAAGGCACAAGTTCCTGAGAAGAGTCCTCTGCATCCCTTGTCAAGCAAGGTGCTTGAGCACAATGACTCTTATTTGGATCTTGCCATCCTCAGCTTAGAGCTGCCCTGCAGGGCCATGACATCTCCCGAGCCTCGGCTGTCACATGAGGGGCTCAGAGGTCTCTGACAGCCTCCCCCAGCTGACAGGCTGGGGCACTAGAAAAGAGCTTGGCACAAAAAGCCACTTTCTGGATCTAGTTCTGGGGAGGGCAGAAGCACTGCTGGGCGAGGCAGGTCTGCTAAGTGATTTGTGGGGCCAGTGTCACGAGAGGGGAGTTCACGCGTACGTACCACTGCTTCCACGGCGGGCGAGTTGTCACCAACCACCAGCAGGACAGGGCACCTGGTCAAAACCCAAAGCAGGAATGTTACTCGCAGTGCATCGAGGGCATTTCTCAGAAGGTTGATTGAGTTCTGTGAACCAACAGCCTCATGAAAGGTTAACAGCGCTCAGCCAAGTCCCCACCTGCCACCGTATCATGGTGTTTTGTTGCACCAGAGCATCCTCTGGGCCCTGCACACGCACCCCTACTGTCCCCTCACCCACACCGACTGCCAGTGCTGTGCACACATGTTAAAAGATGTGCCTTGGGCTGGGAGAAGCACTGTCCCAGGCTGCAAAAGGGAGCGAGCTCTCTGAAATCAATGTCTGTTGGGAATTTAAGAATTATCCCATGCAACAGAGTTTAGTGCTTCTGAGGCTGGCTGCCGCTCAGCACCATATCCTGGTTTGGATTTTAGAAAGAAACACAAATGATGTTGAGGAACATATTAAAAAATGTCACAATATCAAAGCCTCTGTTGGCAAATCTGTGCTTTCATATCCATTTTTGCATGTACTGTACTTCCAAAAGAATGATTAACATTCAAGGTGTAGAACACACAGGAGGTCACTGGCCAAGTGGCCATGAACTTACACTGTTCATTCACAGACCAAGTTCAGAAACGGGTGGTTAGAGGCCCCGCCACCTCTGTGTGTTGACTAGATGACAAAAAGTAAGACTGGAGAGGCTGTGAGGCACAAACCTCAGCACCAGTGGAGTACCTCTAAGGAGACAGGGGATCTATATGCAAGTCAATGTGGCAGAGATCCACACTTCCACAAGAAGTATTCTAAGGGTCTGCAGATCCCTGTGAGTCACCTGAACGGACACCCAGTGCTCTGTGGCTTACAGCTGCCTGCATGAGACAGCAGCACGACTGGCCTTGCCTGGGGACCAGGCAGGGAAACACACCTCTCTTGGGTGAGCCACCATGTAGAGGGTTTGGCTGTGGATGCCCAAAACATTCCTGGGACTGGCGCGAGCAGAGTCCATACAGCTCCCAAGGAGCCAGAGCAGAGTGTGGGCAGCAGTCTCTGGCCCAGCACAGGCACCCTCCCTCAGCACTGCAGTTTGCAGTCTCCACGTGCCTTACGCATTGGAGATAATCTGCCCCTTCTGCTTTCTTGCTTTGAACCTGAAAATTTCCATATGCTTCCCTGTGCTGATGTTTTGCCAATGACTAGGCCTAGCATGAATGACACAGCCAGCAGAAAGACAAACCAGTAACTGGACTGTATTGAGTACAGAAAAGTCATTGCATGAATAATCGCCGGAGGTACAGATCAGTCAATCAGTTCACACACAACTGACATCACCTCCAACGACCCCAACAACGACACCGCACGGCCCACAATGGGCAGAACAAACAAGGAACCAAAGTCTCCCATAGGTGGGATGGGAGACAACCAAGCCAGCAAGTTAATCACATAAGATAAAGACAGACACATATTTCTCTCCCCTAGCCGACATTTGCAAAGGTCCAAGCTGACCAGGGCCCAGCCCCAGGAGAGTCAGGAGATCCTTCCCCAACCAGGCAGCTCTGTGAAATGCATCCACCCCACAGACAGACACTCCTCCCTTCCTGCAAGTGGTCCCAGCTTTTATCCCCCAGCAGAGCCCTGACCTTTGTCAGCTCCCTGCGGGACCCCTGGGGCTCATTTCCCTTCTGGCTCTCCCTGCAGGGCCGGCCGCACCCTGGGGGGAAGCTCTAAGGCAAACTCACCCCTCTGGATGAAGGGCTGTGGGGATCACCCATATGGCAACCTTAATTCGGGGTTCAAACCCCAGCATTTCTACTGATTATTGCTAGTTCTCCAGTGCCCGTCCCTTCCCAGCTGTACCCTGCACAGAGCATCCCTCCCCAGATGAAAGAGCCACTGCCAGGGTGGGGGAACACCTCTGCATCCTCTGCGTTCAGAGCCCACTGCTGTCTCTGGGAGAATTCTGCACGTCACTTTTTTCAGCAAGGTGGGGGAGGGCAGCCAGTGGCCACAAACAAAAACCTGCCTCTCTAATTTGTCATGCGAAACAATCACACTAAGAGGTCAGCAAATAATGTGACTGCTGGATGGATACACTTATACCTCTAACCCTGCCTTCTGGAGGATCTCGGGGTGTTCTCAACGAAAGGACTTACAGACACCACTTGTCTGCCCTGTCCTAGCTGACAGGGTGTGTCTGCACCACAGCCTGGGACTGTCTTAACAGTCTGCCCAGCACTTGGGCTTGTGGGGTTCTTGCTGAGAAGCAGCAACAACTTTTCTGCTGAAGGGACTGCACAGCAACTGATGGAGACAGGCTGGTTCAGAGCAACTTACTTGAGTGTTTTTGCAGTATTTTCGTTGACGCCAAGAACTGGTCTCTCAATTTCCAAGTCTCTACGACTGCAAGGCAAACCAGAACAATTCACATCAGCAGAGGAAACTGGCTGTTGTGTACAACCAGGAGTGCTGGCTCCAGCACTCAGGCAACAGGTTATTGCTCCCTGTGTCATGCCAGGAGCAGGAGCCACAGCAGTCACTGCCAGAAAACAGGATCTGTGCTTTCATGGCAAGCTTGTGGTGTGGCTAGAGAGGTGGCCTCCTGAGGTGTGAGAGGGTCATCTGGGCACAAGGGCTGAGCTTGGCTCAGGACAACAGCTGAACACTAGGCTTAGGACAGAGGTCATACGACAATATATGCAACAGAATAATACATATGGCAAAAAGTCTCCCGAGCAGGGAAGCTATGGGAGCAGTCTAGTGGGCAAAGAGGTATCCTGTACCTGTTGTAGGAGGTGAGGAACAGCTGCAGGTTATCTTGGTTAATGTCCTGAGCAATATGAAGCCTGTATGTTTGGATCAAATCTAGATTTGCCTGCAGTTCCTCCTGTACAAAAGCAGAAGAATTGAAAGACAGGGAACATCATCTTTTTCACCAGGAAAGAAACAATACCCACAAAAATACTGATGGACTGCACTGCCTCCATACACAGCACTCCCTGTGAGCACAGGGCAGCCACTCCAGGCTGCGTTAGTACCTAGGCTATGTGAAATGCTTCTGTGACATGGCTGTTGGGTGCCATGCTTTGCTGTTGTGATTATGTTTCTACAAGTGGCAGCACACACTGCTGCAGGAGTACAAAAATATCTTGGGAGGGGCTACATTAGCTCCTCGGCCTCAGTAGTGCTTATACAGATAGAAATCACTTTGGCTAAGAAGGTCCTCTGCTTATGCTGAATGTTAAAGGAGCAAAGCTTTAGAATCACAGAATCATAGAATAGTTTTGGTTGGAAATGACCTTTAAGATCATTGAGTCCAACCACTAAACTAACATTGTCAAGTCCACTGCTAAACCATGCCTCTCAGTCCCTCATCTACCCATCTTTTAAATACCTCCAGGGATGGGGACTCCACCACTGCCCTGGGCACCTTGTTCCAGCACTTGATAACCTTTTCAGAGAAGTTTTTCCTCATGTCCAACCTAAAGCTCCCCTGGAGCAACTTAAGGCCGTTTCTTCTTGCCCTATCACTCGCTCTTGGGGAGAAGAGACCGACCCCCACCTGGCTCCAGCCTCCTTTCAGGGAGTTGTCAAGAGTGAGAAAGTCTCCTCTGAGCCTTCTTTTCTCCAGGCTCAACACCCCCAGGTCCCTCAGCTGGTCCTCATAAGACTTGTGCTCTAGGCCCTTCTTAGGTAAGTCCCACGACTGGGACCAATGGAAAATCTAATCCCAACAGCCAGTGCTATGAAGAAACTGCATTCTGATGGCAGCTGGCGAGAGACAGAAAAGAGAATGCAAGGAAGCACTACAGATAATGAAGGGCACTACAGATAATAAAGCAGGGAGAGAACAGCATGTGCTCTAAGCAGGAGGAAGCCACACAACTGCTTCCAGTGCTGAGTATGTTGTCACACCAGTGCTTCAGGTCAGAGACTTGTCTGCTGCATGTCATGTACAGTGTGCACAGGGCACAGGCCCCTCCTGCTGCCCAGTAAGCTTGCTGGCTGGGAGGAAGCAAATCCCAAACGGAAGGCACTGCTGCATCCAAAGTTTTCAGGAGGGGCTGGTTTGCCTCTGCTGAAGCTGAAGAAGCTAAAGAGCAGAAAGCACCAGTTCAACACCTGGCCACACACAATATCCTGCTGTCAACTCCCAGCTGATCTGTGCCCTACCCACAGCCTAAAAGCTTCCACGCTGGCTACAGAGAACCAGTTGCCACTTGTTTCTGCAGGCAGTTGCTTGGGTGCCACAAAGACCTATGTTCTAGCATCAGTGAGTGGGCCACTCCATGTCTGGAGACAGCTAGGGTGAGTGTGAGGATGCACGTGCTCCCCGCAGCGTGCAAAGCCCTGACGCCAGCGTGACGCCCAGAGAAGACAGTATTATCTGCAACAGTCCTTACTGGATGGAAACTTCAGCGCAGGAATGTACATATAGCTCCACGGACAGTTGTGTGGGCAACATTAGCACCTGCTGGGTACTTACATGGCCAAAATGATGCGCCAAGACAATATCCACTATGTTGGTTGTCCAGCCTGAAAACTGAAGAGCAACCATGAATGAGGAGGAGGAGGGAGGGTAACTGGAAAATGCAGTTTCATCACAAATTTCAAAGTGGCACATCTGAGTGAAGAAAATAACAAGTAAACTACTCAAGCAATGTAAGAAACAAATGCCTGAAGCTTGGGGTGGGTGTGCAAGGCTCCAAAGAAGTCTGTGCACACATAACACGCAGCTCTCGAGAAACCTGGGACTCTGAGTAACTGCAAGTGGCCAGAATAACACAATAATTAAAAGCTCCAGTTATCCTCAGCCAAGTGAAGCCTGCAAGCAGGAGTACAGATCAGAGGAAAGCCGAGCGCTCAACAGCTGCTCAGCTCCAGGCTCTTTATCAGGGTTTCTCTCTCACACAGGATCACACCCCAGCCTGCTCCTGTGGTGGAGGCTGTACCACACCCAGACTGGGAGCCCAGTTGGGGCAGAAACGGGACTGTGCAGTCTCTGCCATAAACCAACAAACTCCTGTGTGCTGCCCTTTTCCTTCTTACTCTCCACACTGTTCATGAAGCACTGTGGAGAAGGGACATGCAGGGGAAGGAGAGCCTCACCTTGGATGCTGCCCAGTCAATCCAGCCCTTCGCACATGGATCAACATTAATGAGAACGAGTCCCTCCACCAGGTCGGAGTGGCTGAGCTGTGAGGAGAGAGCACAGGTACACTCAGGAGGATGATTCAGCCCACACGTTGGTCAATGCAGGCACAGCAGCCAGCAAGCTTCTTGCAAAAGGAAGACAGAGCAAAATGAAGGCCAAGTGGAGAGGTCCTTCTGTGCCAGGCAGCCAGTGGCCTTCTCAGAGCCTGCCCCAAAGCTGGCTCCAGCCAGACCTTACTCGATGCAGTGGTTGGCACTGAGGGACCGACTGCTCACCCAGCACCCTCAGCCCCAGCAGAGACCTGGGGAGCCCCAGCTGCAGGGTTGCCAGGTACACAGGGCTCCCCAGGGAGCACCCCCACTGCCCTCCCAGCCCACAGACACCCCTTCCCCTGCTCCAGTCTGACATCCCCAGCACCCAGCAGTCTGACCTCGGGGCGAGCACGGGTGCAGAATACTTTGAGAACTGCTGCAGACACAAACCCAGCAATCTAACACAGCCAGAGAACTTTGAGATCTAGGCTCACACCAAGGCTGAAATTTTACAGCAGCTCTTCTGCTCCATTGTACAGATTAGCATGGGTCATCAGAAGGAATAGCAGGAAACCATTTGGCACCCAGGCGGCATGGCAAAGGCTTTCTGGCACTTCACAGAGCTGAGGACAAAGGCTCATATGTGTGACTTTCTCTAGCAAGACTGAAAACTACACAAGCTACACAAGGCAGGGAACAGCAAACGCCTCACACTGCCCCAGCATAGCCCTGACTGGGGGAAATGGGAAGCAGAGGATTTCTGTAGGATGGGCAGCTGCATGATGAAGTGGCTTTAAAAAGCAATAATGGCCTAAATCATCATCAGCTCTCTGCACTCAATACTTAGAATGTCAGATTCCTGTAGTACTTTTTTTAACACCGTCTCTGAAAGACTCAGGCAAGTTCTTGGGCTGCTGAATGATGGCCACTGATTCCACATGCTTATAAACACTCCACTAGAGAGAAACGTAGAAGAACCAACATAGACCTCACACTCTTGTCAAAGGGTGGAGTGCAAAATTTCCTTCCTTCCAGAGAAGAAGCACATTCCTCATCAGCAGTGGTTCACAGCACATCACCAAACCAATCGTCTGGTGCCACAAGCACTAGAAAGAGCATACAGTAATGCAGCCAGTCTTTGAGAAGCCAGAGGCTGGACACTCCTAGCAGCCAGGATGGGCCCTGCTGACTCGGAGACACCACATTACAAGCTTTCCATGTCTGGCATAGCTTCAGACTAACTTGGGCTGCTCCAGTGTAACCATCTGGATGCGGAGTAGCTCTCACAGGGCTCCCTGCAGGCCTGCTGTAATTACTGACTGCTACTTTCTCCGTGCCCACAGACGGTCTCTTTGATTGGTGGCAGATCACAGCTCAGACAAGTCACAGGGAAATGAAGAGATACTTACTGCACACCTGCTGAGGACGTAAGCGCCAGCTCCCAGTCCAATCCCAATGAAGCTTTTTAGGCTGAAATACAGGCATGTCACAATTAGCAGGGCAAACTTAAGCTCACAGTCGAAGCATCCCTAGAGGAAGAGCCTTTCCACTCTCTGCATACAGCTGTTCACTTATGGCTCATAGCCAAAATGATTCAGGAATGATGCAGCAGCCATAAATTGTCTCGTGGCAGACAGTGTTCCCAGAACAAGAACCAGACATGGTTACACAGGTCAGGAGATGCTCAGGCCTCCTGGGACAACTCTGTGAGCATATCAGATGTTGCAAGCAGAGACAGAGGTAGGTGCTGGAATGGCTGGCTCACCCCGTTTCCTTTCAGAGACTTACTTCAGGTGTGTCAGAACAGCAGGCAGCATTTCAGCTAGTTCATCCATACTGGGATACTGGTACCTGGAAACCAAAAGAGACTGAAATCAAAGCACCTCCAAATCCTGCTCGACAGAAGCTACCTTCCAGTTCTGCCCAAGGCAGGAGAGACAAGGAACATCTGACAGGTGTGTGCACAGGTGATTATTTTGCAACAATACTGTACATCGCAGCCAACTGCATGGATTCAGAGCAAGACTAACACAGAGCTGTGCTTTTTTGGGGCAGTCAGACTTGTGTGGGAGGATGGACAGACAGAGCAAGGAACACCAGCTAGACTGCGGTATGCTGGGCTCACACTCAAGTCAGAAAGCTGGTACCAGCACTCAGAACTGGTGAGGGTTTTACCCAGGCCTCAGTAACAGGAGAGCTGCCTGAATGCCCCTTGGGAAGCCTCCTCATCTTCCCATTTTCTCTGCTCCTGAAAGCTGCCTCCCACTACACTCACCCCAGCAGTGCCAGCTGGCTTAAGCTGGTTGCTGCCTCAGTCCAGACCACATCTGGAACAACAAGAGTCTCTGCAGAGCTCTTACCCGGATGGGAATGGGGGTGCTCCTTCCTGCTGGCCTGGTGCATCCACGTGGCACACGGCGAAGTGCTGAGTGATCTCTTGCATGTCTTCAAAGTTAAAGAACGTGTTAAAACAAGATTTGTCTACAACAAGAAGAAGAAGAAATGAGACATTTCCCGAAGCTTGATTAGGATCCACCCTCCAAACACTGCGGCACAGAGCTGCACGTGCCCAGCTCCCCTGCTGAGCCTGTGGGCAGCGGGTGCTGGGTCCTGGCACAGAACCAGCCGTGGCTAGGCTGGGGCCAGGCAGGCAAGTGCCAGCCCAGCACTGAGGCCTGCAGCACCTGGTGCCCACAGGGCACACTGGGGAGCACTGGCTGAGCCTAACAGGACACGCTGGGTGGGGAGAGCAACCGAGCCCGTTAGAAACGTTACACTGCTTCTGCAGCCCTGTGTCAGGACCTGCTCACCTGCCCAGCACCCAGGGAACGGGTGCCCATGGCAGCTCTGCCACAGAGCAGCAGGTCAGCTAGAGCACTGTGGTGTGGTGGGTGCACCCATTCCCAGCTTTCACACCAGTGCTACCTTTCGAGGGCAGCTGGAATGGACAGGGGTGTGCCACATGCTCTCTCTCCTGCAGACCCTTTCACCCTGGAATGAGCTGTCTCATCTCAGCTCTAGGCCAGTCCTGCTGGTCCTCACACGAAACCAAATACCACAAACAACCAATTTCCAGGGTCCTGTGAATGCAGGGGCTTACGGTTGAGGCCAATGTCATGGTATGTGAGGATGACAGGTCTGTTCCCCTTGGGTGTGCCCCGCATGGTGACATGGACCACTCCAAAAGCTGTCTCAATGTCATGTTCCTGCAGAGAGAGAAGAAGGAGCCTCAGTGTTACGTGTGCTGCCTGCACTACAGGGAACCCTAACTGAGGGCCCACAGCAAGGGCTCATCCACACTAACACTGCTCTCCTATCCACAGGTGGTGGCTCAGTCCAGCTCTTGCAACTTGCATCCCTGTCAAATCTTTCTCTCCAACCACTGCCAAAAGCAAGTTGCTTTTGTACAGAAGTGTGAAGGGTCTGAGGCCATGTCTTCCCGTAATCAAGATCTCATTCCAGTGGTCTTTGGTGATTGGTGATTTGCTGCACTGTAGCAGAAGGCAGGTATCACGTGTCCATCTGTCTCTAGGGGTTCATGGCATCACAAATGCAGCTTCTCCTCCACAGCCAAGTCTTTGCTCCCAAGCTGGCATCTCCCTACCTCCAATCCATCAGCCCATGAGCCTCTTTTCAGTGTCTCCAACTCACAACCCTGGGAAAGTCCTGTCCACAGGCAAGCTAATGTGAGGGGACACAGCTATGTCTGAGAGGCTGGTGGCAGCCCCAGCCCCTGGGGACCATGTACCAGAGCATTTTGGGAATGGCATGACAACACACAGAGCAGGCAGATGGCTGGGTCAGCAGAGAGACCTAAGCTCTGTATTCCATCCACTGGCTGCCTGGGAGGTTGTACCCGTCCACAGAGCAGCAGGTGGCAGCTCTTCCTTTCAACACCATTAAAAATGAGAGATGCAGATCCACACGTACCTCCTCTCCCAGGCTGCCTGTCTACTGCAGCCCCACCCTGGCCATGAGCCCATCGGATCTTGAGCACACTGCTGCATTAACGTTAGCTGACCTGCCACCCCAGGGAGAGCTGAGCACTAGGCCTTAACCAAACACTCTTCTACCCTCCTACCAGGTTTGGTAATGTGACAGTAAAACATCCTTAGGCTCCTCCAGCAGCTGGCACAGATACAGGAGATTATGCTGCTTTCAAGCTGGGTATCAGTGGAGCACTTTCGTGACCTGCTTCATGACTATTTGGCAGCAAAAGCATATGCCTTTTCCCAAGCAAAATATTGAGAGCTTTTTGCCCTATGCCTTGCACAAGAGAGCAAGAGGACCACGAGGCCTCTGGGTACCTCCCCAATACTTGTCCAGTGCAGAAACAGAAGCCACAACCTCATGATGATGGACACAGAAGGGCTGACAAAGTTGTCTGAGTTTAACTAAAATAGCTGCAAACATAGTTAGACAAACACTGATCTGGGTAACTACAGACTCTGTAGTCCTATGATTCTCTGTGATTCTAGGAGACTCTGAAAAAGCTGTGTAGAGGGCAGTGAGGCTGGGCACACAACATCACCTCCAAGTCCTTTCCCTCATCTACAGAAATCAGATGCATTCTCTGAGTTACAGACACTGTAGAAAGCACCAAATATTTTCTTGATATTAAAAAAAATCTGCTTAGGGAATAGCCTCATGGTTCAGCCTGAAGGCAGGACATTACAGCCTCAAAAATATTTCTCACTAGTTTAAAAAAAGTATGTGAATTATTTTTTTAGACAGCAATTTCCACCTACCTGAAAGTGTTAGACTAAATACAGGACAGGTGAGAGGTCCTGGCTTGCAGCATGTCAGAAATTCACCTCACCTCCCTGGGCAATCCCAAAGGCTGGCTGTGGGCCAGACATTTAGTTCTTGCAGTGAAGGATCCTCCTCCCCTCAGCTGTACTTCTTTTCAGGGGCTCCAAAGGCTTTCTTCTTGCCCCAGCCTGGCAACAGGCCCAAGTTGCCACAGTCAAATAACTTCAGGTAGTCTGAAGTTTTCTCCAGCTCGGCTTTGAAGGAAAATAAGACACCCCTGACTGCCCTCATCCTCAGAAATGGGTTTTACTCACACGCAGCTGTTGGGCTGTGCAGGTGGAGAAGCTGGAGTCCCTACAAAGCAGCAGTGACCTGCTGCAGTAGAGGCAGGCAAGAGAACAGTGCAGGTGAGGTTACCCAGCCTGGCCTCCCCTGGCTCCGTGCTCCTTAGGAGGGGACTGTGGGCCAGGACAGGAGGGAAATGACTGGTCTGCATGTGCAAAGCAAGCCTGGGTCCACACAGAAGAACCACCTGCCCTTGCAGCAAGGGTGCAAAAGGAGAAGCCCAGGGAGCAGTCTCTGTCTCCTGAGGCTCTGAAAACCACCAGGCTCTACCCCCTGCCCACCTTCTTGGCTCTCTGGGCTGCTCTGCTAAGCTGGGCAAAGCCCTGTTCTATACTCCAGCAGGATGTCTTCTGCAGCTGTACTGGCCTTCACTTGAGTGTTCTCCAAGTCTGCAGGTGTTAACAAGTCCTTTAACAAAAGCACCAACTTTTGGGTGCTGCCATGGTGGTGGTGGGCAGCAAAGGGAAGAGCCCAGCGAGCACCAGACCCCACCAAACCCCTGGCTGCAGCTCCCCACCCACCTGAGCTGACCAAGCAGCTGGCTGCTGCTAAAAGCAGCCCTCTGCCAGCTCTGGCAGCTCTTGGTCTCTTCTACAAGCAGCTTTAATTCACTGATCTGGCAGGAAACTATCCAACTGCCTTTTATTTTTCTTTACTCTTACTTTGTTTGATTTCTGCCAAGTCGGTGGGTTAAGAAGCTCACAGAGGGGTCTGGCGCATGGGGTGGTAGAAGAAATAACCCTGCCCCGAGCACAAGGCCAGTTGAACTGACTCATGTCTCATGAAACTGCACCTCCAGAGGACTTGGGAGGATTTTACAAGCAGCAGCAAAAGGTCATTGATCAAACGGAAGCACAAAACCCAAACTGAGCCAACAATGAGAAAAGCACAGAAATCAACAAAAGAGATGATGATACTAAAAAATGTCAGCAACACAGACTTTTCTGGAATTACATTAAAACTTACTGCTAAGGTCACAATTCCACTACGTCAATACTGGACAAGGTACTAGAAACAGAAACACCCCCTTCTCCTGAAAGCTTCTGTTCAAGCACCTAAACGTGCTTCCTATTGCAACATGTTGCGTTTTGTTTTCCGATGCTAAACTTGAGTCCTAACTCTCTAGGAGGAAAGGAAAAGAATTTCCTTGACCTGAAAATGAATACTCTATACTCAACTTTGCTACTGCTTCAGTCACATTAGTGATTCAGATACAGCAAACGTCCACTGAACATGGAAGTGACTTCAGAAATCCCATATTTAACAAATCTCAGCAAATAGCTCTTAAGAAAAATTAAGATGCTAAATCTGCAAACTTCTTTCTCCTCACTGTACGGTGACAAAGCCTTAGACAGGGAGTGATTAAGGTTGTTTCTTTTTACTCTTGCTAGTTCCTAGGCAAGTTGGAAATCCTTCTCCTTTTCAAGATTACCTGAAGACCAAGTTTCATCCCTAGCTTCCCTGCGAGTAATTCTATGTTTATTTTCCCAGTGAACTTTATTTTCTTTCAAACTTTGTCCTGTAGCTTTAGGGCTTTTATCTTGACCTACGATTGCAAAAGACCAAGACACTTTCAGACGTCACATAATTACAGCACACATGACTTCCCTGTTACCTGCTTTTCCCCAGAAAGGCACCCTCCCACCCATCAAAGGCAAAGCACAGCGTGAGACAGACACTCAGTACAGAGCTTAGGTTTTATGCTTAGGATGGCAATGACAATCCCTACACTTACAAGATAAAACTGCTCTTTGAAATGGCCAATAAAAAGTTATTGCATTGCATCATTACTGGTTTATTACTCTTCCAAACATGGAGCAGATAACCCAGTCACAGCGGGTAGCAGGGTACTTGGTGAGAGGGCAGCAGCCGTGGAAGCTGCACCCTCTGCCCTTGCCAAACACACCTTCTTCACATGCTTCTTGTAGACAGGCACGGCCTGTGTCACGCTGTCTCCACAACCACAGCCCACCTCTAGTTCTGCAGGTAACCTCCTGGTATTTGCGCACTGCTCACACAGAAATGCCTCGTTGGAAGGTATCAGACACTTGTCCTCGTCACTTCTCAGGCTCTGTGTCTGGTCTCTGTTCAGGCCAGGTCTGATGCATCGCAGCAGAGGAGCTTGAACAGAGGTTCAGGGATTGCTGCCTTGCAGCTGTCCAGCTGTGGTCTGAACACTGAGCTGGTTCACAGTGCATGGGAGCAGTGGTAGGAGAAGGCAGGTGGAAAAGACATGGCCAGGAGACAGCCAGATGTTAAACACTGTGCAGTACCCAAAATAAGGGAGATGAATCCAGAAGATGATGATCTGCACTTGAGTTCTGAAAAGCTTGATAAAAATTTTGTTTTCACTTAGGGACTGGAAACTTCAGAGGTTTCTCTGGAGAGATTTGATCTTCTGCCCTTATTTGTTCGATAGGTAAAAAACCAAACAGCAGCCACAGCCCCCCTGCTGCAAATGGAAACTGCACCCCAGCGGCAGGCCGCTCGCCCTGCCCACGGCACCGCGCCTCTGACACAGCG